CTGGTTCATCATTAGTTCATGGAAACAAAAACAGAGATGAGATCAAAAGAAAGTGAAAATAACGTGAGAGTAGAGTTTAATTTTGTCGACGATCATGCCAAAAGAGGGTGGAGAGTGTACGTGTTAATTGGCTATATGAGAGCGTGACAGAATCCTGACGTGATTTGTAGGGTTTGGTTGAACAGAAACATGTCTGCTCTTTTGGCCAATATATGATTGAAGATTTGAAGGCTAAAAAGACTTGGATGATTTGGCTAGATATATTGATTCTGACATTTCTCCTTCAAGTTCATTGTCTGTCGTACGTATCTAAATGGACCATAACAATATATGGATGCTATTGTTAATATAACGGCTATTGTTAGGGAGAACATCCATTCAACTTAGTTTTTGTAAGCTATATGATGTGGTTGTTGATGATTAAATAATTATTGAAATGTTGATTAACGTGTTTATCTTATATTTGTGACACATCATATTGTTTACAAATTTGGTCTAAAAAGTTGATATACTTAACATTATTCTAATATGATTATTGATTAAACATGTTTCACATACTCCATCTAAGTTTCACAGTTTCATTTTTACATATAACATAAGGAAATTACGATGCAGATTACAATCGAACAACATAACAAGTCATGTTAAAGAATCTTAACTGTTGATTATCGACAAATAATTTTAAAACCAACAACTTGAGAGAACCAAATACAAACATCCGATATAATATATTCACAATTTGCTGGAGCATCAGCAACAAAATTGCTCCTCAATAAATACATTGAACTCCTTGAACATTAAAATCTCTAAGAAGGGAGCACGTTGCACTCAAGTAAAGGAGTTTGTATAGGAAATGGGAAGCCAAAATAAACTAAGAACACAAAAGAAAGTTATCAATGGACTAATAGGATAATGGCACCAAACTCAGCCGCAATCTTTACCTATGACGAGAAAAGATTGAACTCAGTTTGTAAAAAGTTAAAAATAAAAAATCTATTTATTAGAAAAATCCATCCGTTTGCTTTCATGAAACACATCGATATTATTATTTTAATATATCTATATACATATCCAAGAAGAAAGGTCCATGACGTTTTTTATCTTCTCTGCGTTAAATTTGTATTGTTTATTGTTTGTGTTGGTAATAGTTGCTGATGATAGTTATGTAAAAGTTTATCTAATGAATTAGTTTGATAAATTTCTCTCTAGATTAAAGATTTGGTTACTAAAGAATACGTACCTAATATGGCACATTCTTTTATTTTTCTGTTCTTATCAATTAAATCACTCTATGGTTGCTCTTAAAAAAAAATAAAAGAAGAAAGGTCTAATACTAATATACTTAACAACTTGCAAGCAAGTAGAACATAGTTGTTGTTAATTAAATTATTAATGAGTGTAAATTAAAGTACATACTTTTTATTGATAACACATCACATAATTTATAAATCTGATCTAAAAAAAGTTGGTATATCACTCATTACCCTTATGCAAAATATAATTAGGTAAGAAAACAAACGGCGAAACGTGGGATAAAAGTTAGGACACCTTCTTGAAGTGCGTGCCAAGTCATGTAAAAGAGTAAAAAGGAATAAGATTCAAATTTCCACGTGGCAATGTGTGTGCTTCATTAGTGTCGCTGCCTACGGGGTGGTCTTTATTCGTCGCGTTTCAGTCAACGCACCGTTGGGTTACATGTCGTTTATTCGAATTTTACAGTTGCGGCTGTCACCACTCACCTCACCCTAAATCCAAAATTGGATAGGAGTAAATAAATATTAATCAACGGTTCAGATTTGAGTAACATACTAATCCACGGTTCAGAATGAGCCTACAAAGGGTTATATGCTTGTCGGCACGTGAATATATGAAGATAAGAAAGAAAGTGAATCTATCGCACATTGTTATGAATGATTAATCTAGACAAAACAATGAAAATAAAACTAGACAATCAGGCGCAAGATGTAAACTTTTCTATTAAGGGTCATTTTTTTTATAGACTGTATTGGCCTTGGGTTTTTTGTTTAATATTTTGACGCAAGAAGTAAACATTTATATTCGTTTATAATAAATTATATCTTTGGAAAAAAAAATAGACGTTTGGGAGGAGGAATGAGATGAATATAATTAGTTCAGCAGAAAAAAGAACAAAATTATAAATAACTAAGTGTTTAAGTGAGAAACATGATTTATCTATCTATAATTATTATTCATTAGATGACATAATGATTTTTGCATAAATGATATTTAAAAGATCTAAAAAGTAGACAGTTCAATCAAGGGCGGAGCTACCTAAGGCCCAAAGGGGGCATCCGCCCCCACTCAAATGTTTGGGCGATGAAAAAAATTATCATGACAATTTAAATAACAATTAAATTTTTTATTTTGGTTCCGAATATTCCACGTTTTCTAACCTAAATCAAACTCAATTGAACTAGGGGTTTCATAAATAGATTGGATTCAACCGATGAAATATCATAACTTGATATAAAAAATTTACTCTGCAAAGTATTTTATATGAATTTATTTCATCCATTCGTTTGTGGCATTACAATTTAAAATTTAACTTTTTAATTTAGAGATTTTTCATTGTACCTGACTCTCAACAACTTAACACCCATTATTTTACTTGGTTATTTTAGGACGCCCCCAGTCAAAAACATTTCTAGCTCCGTCCTTGGGTTCAATCACAACATGGAAGAATTTGAAAGAAAGTCGAGAAAGTTACCAGCTTTCCTCTTCTCGGCAATTAGCCACATCGATTATCAAGCAAATGTGGAAGTTTATTGAAACTGTCGACTTTAAACAATCTGATTTAATCCTTTATATACTAATTGATGACTCCTTATTGAGGTGATATGATCAATAAAAAAAAGTCATCATGCACTCCAAATTGGAAGTCAATAGGTAAATTTCCTCTCAAAAAGTTGATTCGGTCTGGATCGAACATTAGATCAAATTTAAACCATTTTTTTCAACAAACATTGAAAGTCAATAGGTAAATTTCTTCAACGGTACGTAGCACTAAGTGATACGAAAAATATTTGAGATTAAAAATAAAAGATTCAACAGTTGTGCAAATCAAATTTAACAGCTAAAATACCATAGCACCAAGTGCTAGTAGCATTACAGCCACACCGGACAATACGATCTTTCTTCTCCAAACTAATTTAAACCACTTGGTTCCATAGCACTTCTGAATTTCCTCCTCCAATCCAGACAAGATGATTTTCTTTTTCTTTTTTCTGGAAAAGCAACTCCAGGATCCCGGTTTATATCCTAAAATGGTGATCCATTTGTTGGCGTTTTTGAGCTCCTTTAGTCCCACATCGGCGAACTCAAGGGAACTTGAGGTCTTTATATTAAGTTAGTCACCCTTACTAGTGATTAGGTGTTGGATTATTTGGAATGAGAATTGAGGTTTGGACCACTAATTGTGTGGATTAGGTTTGATGATTATATCATAATATTAATTCAAATTAAGTTTTTAATTAAAATTAATTAAAAACATTTTGATTAATAAACACAACTCTTTGGAAAGAGTTGAAAAGGTGTGAAAGAGCCTATACAACTCTTTGTGTAGCTTCATATACATTCAAAAGATATTTGAAGAGGTATGAATGAGCCTATATAACTGGAGTCTCAGTTCCATCGTAGATCATTTTTTCTTCCTCCTTTAATTCCTGTATTTATTTATGTATTTCATTATGTATAACAAGTATTTGTGGTTAATAAAATATTAGAATTTCAAGTTCTGTTATTTCTATTTATTTTTTAATTGTTCTCCAACACAATTGACTTATAATCACCTAAAAGAGATCAAAGTTATAACCTTAATTAATTTTGAATTAATTAAGCTAAATCAATAAGGTTCTATTTTTTAAATTTGTTGAGAGAAGAAAAGTCTGCAAGTTTGACAAACTTTTCTGGAGTCAAACTCATGTCCACTCGTTTTTTTTTTTTTTTTTTGACAAAAAAGGGACCATCGGGTGTTTTTTCTGCGATAGTTCACTTTTTCAGCTGTTAGGAAGACTAATAGAGGCATTTCAGCCTCTTCCTGGTTATAATTGTACGACTCACTAGCGTCAGGAATTGAACCCACAACGTATTGTGTGGAATACGAACTTGAAATTCATCATCAACCACTCAACCATCCTGTGATGATTAAACTCATGTCCACACGTTCAATCTTCAACAAACTTTTGTTTCCAACCCACGATTCAAGCTAGAAAAAACAATAATTTTCCATTTGAACATGTTTTATCACTAATCCTAATTCAAATAAAAAAAAAATACCCAATTTATCTTTTCAACATATTCATACTCTCATATTGAACTGGAATGGTTAGGATGTGGAGATCCCTATGATCCCCATAAAATGGAGGATCCTCTTCCTACGCAATATGACACAACTACAAATCCAATTAAAGGGATACAATAGTTTTTTATTTTCCAAAAGTTCACCAAAATTTTAGGGCACTGTTATTTATACACTTATTTTACTTGTCATACATCATTCTTAATTTTTGACTGTCGGATCAAATGAATTGAAAAAGATTAACAACACAAAATTAACAAGATGTGCAAAGATAAAAAGTTAACACTATCCAAGTTTTATCATGATCTCTGCCATGCGGTTTCTACCAATCAGAGTAGAAGAGATGTCACCAAGATTTGTACATCCGGCAACAATTCACTATATTAAAGTCATTTTGAAAGAAGAAATGAATGTTAACCTTTTAATTTTGTTCAAGTTCAACAAAAGATATTCTTACTAATTTCCACAAATATGAAAAGATTAAATGAACAGTTTTTCTTCGTGAGTAATTTTAACTTGGACATAATAAAAAGATTTTCATATGTTTCTTCTTTCAAAATACATTTAATATAACGAGTAATCATATCAAAATTAATTTTCTCTACTAAATAAAACCTTTACATATGCGAGATTCTCTTGCTTTAACAATATGCATCAAATAAATGAGAATTTGAATACGCGGCCAGCCATTATTCCATTCCATAACATCTGCTGGCTGCAACATGAATTTGAATCGACAGTCTTTTTAATGTTCCGAATTTTCTATCATATCATTATCTCCCTTTTTACCAACATGTCCATGGTTTCTCACTTGCCGAGAAGAAGCGCGTATTGGCATCTCCCCGGTGACTTTCGACGAACCCAAAGCTAGGAATGTTCTGTTGTTCAAACATTGCAACGTATGGTCGGCGCCAACACCTCACCGTCTCTTTCTGCTATATATACCTTGGAAGCCTAGCTTCTGCTTCTTTCGAAGACTCGGCGAATTCAGAGCTCCCACAACTTGACGAACAGGTTCTTGGACCAAACCAGAACTTACCCAGAAGAGAAAATACAGGTATTTGTTCATAGATTTGTATATCTTTGAATTATTGGTTTAAGTATAATTTGTTTGGTAGCTGAGGAAGTTGAGTTGAAAGGAAAGTTGGGTGGAATCTGATTTCTTTTGAATCTTTGTGTAGTTTGTTGATTCGGGGTTTTGGAAAAGGGGAAATCCGAGCTTGTGGCTCGTATTGGGCTTCATTGATTGGAAGGTGTAGTTGATTCGTGGCGTATAGGGTGAGGAAATCATGGGTTTTTCTTATTTTGATCTGTTTTCTATCACTTTCTTGAGAACAAACAGATGGTGAGTGGATTTGGAGCGTCTTGTGATTTGAAGTGTTGGGTTTTGTAAAATCAGTTCAACTGGATATGGTTTTGATGGCTTTTGAGTATTGATTTTTGGTCCCAAAATGGAAAATTACTCCAAATTTATTCAAATGGAAGTTAAATTTTATAAATTGTGCACCTTGACATAGTTTGTCAATCCTGAAGCTATGTTCGCCTGGTGTCAGTTCAATGGATCTTCTATTTTTCGATTGATGAGGCCGATTAGTCTCGCCCTGTTTGATTCAATCTCCATTTGGTTATCCTTTGTTTGGTATCTGCTCTGTGACTAACATCACTCGCTGAAGCAATATTCCGTTACATCGGTTGAATAGAGCGGCCCATTTCGTTGCTTCCTATGCTTGGGTAGCTCAAGTACTCTGGGATGCAGATCCTCCTGAGTCCTTAGTGGTTGCTTCCTGCTCTTTATTCTGATTAATATCCGTTTAAGATTTAAAACTTTTCTTGGTGTTTATTGATTCGATAATACATTCAGGCAAGACAGATTGTGGTTTGGTTATAATTTCTGCTTTTCAAGTTAGTATATGCAATTTTTCCCTCAGAATCTCTAGTTAATTGGCCTTTTTCTGTATCAATATTGCAGGTTTATTTTGTTATCTTGAAAGTTCACAAAGGTTGCCAAGAGTGTCTTTTGGGGAAAGCACAGAGCTTGATCCTATTCTGGTTGATAAGTTATACAATCGGATTTCTTGTCACATGGAATAGCTGATGCCAATCTCATAGCATGGACCAGCATTTTGGATTTGGTGCGACTGGTGCAGGATTGTCATATACAGCTCCACTTCCCACTGTTCGGTCTTTACCTAAAAGGTTACTTGGGTCGTTGAAATTTGATATTAAGAACTCACCAAATACACCCTTTTCGACTCACTTTGATTCTGATACTCTTACGACACTGAGCGACAGTCAGGAGCAGCACAGCTCCCCGGAGAATCTCTCAGGAGCCACCCCCTCCTGTACCTCTTCATTTGAAACAAACAGTTACGTTAATCAGTTAAGCTTAAGCCCTTCGGTGGACTGTAGTCGAGACAGTCTGCAGGTCTATTCTGGTAGGACTTCTTCCTTAAAGGATGCAAATAGTAGCCAGAACATAAAACAAACTTTGCAGGAATTGGAGAGTGCTTTAATGGGGCCTGACGATGAGGAAGAAGAAGTCACCACACCAAACACTTCTAGTGGAGAAAGTAGCAGGCAGCAGACCCAGAGGTCCATGTCATGGATCCAGGAGCACCAGGGTTCAAACCCTGTTCAACGGCAGACATCCTTTGTTTCTCGGCAAAGGCAGTTGGCTGAAGCTCAGTTTGAGAACGTCATAAAGTGATAGATGAAGCATCTCTAAAGGGTTTGCCAGCAAGTAATCTGAAGGAATTGCTGATTGCATGTGCTGGAGCTCTCTCCAACAACAATGAGGAAAGTTTCGAAAAATTGATTGAAAAGGCTAGAGGAGCTGTGTCTATCGGTGGAGTACCAATCCAGCGACTTGGAGCTTACTTGATAGAAGGGCTGGTGGCCAGGAAGGAGGCATCAGGTGCCAATATTTACCACGCCCTTAGGTGTAGAGAGCCTGAAGGCAACGACTTGCTGTCCTATATGCAGATTCTGTATGAGATCTGCCCATACTTAAAGTTTGGTTACATGGCAGCCAACGGGGCCATTGCTGAGGCATGCAGAAATGAGGACCGCATCCACATTATAGACTTCCAGATAGCTCAGGGAACCCAGTGGGTTACTCTCCTTCAAGCACTTGCAGCAAGACCCAGTGGGGCTCCCCATGTACGAATTACAGGTATCGATGATCCTGTTTCTAAACATGCCCGTGGTGATGGGTTGGAGGCAGTAGGGAGACGGTTGAAAGCCATCTCAGACAAATTTAACATCCCAGTTGAATTTCATGGAGTCCCAGTTTTCGCACCTGATGTCACACGGGACATGCTTGATGTCAGGCCTGGAGAGGCTCTTGCTGTGAACTTCCCTCTGCAGCTTCATCACACACCAGATGAAAGCGTTGATGAGAACAATCCGAGGGATGGGCTGCTGAGAACAGTGAGGTCTCTAAATCCAAAGGTAACCACTTTGGTGGAACAAGAATCAAACACGAACACAACCCCCTTTTTCAATAGGTTTGTGGAAACTCTTGAATACTACTTGGCGATGTTCGAGTCTATTGATGTGACCCTCCCAAGGAACAGCAAGGAAAGAATCAATGTGGAGATGCATTGTTTGGCAAGAGATATTGTGAATGTCATTGCTTGCGAGGGGAAGGAAAGGGTGGAACGTCACGAGCTCTTTGGCAAGTGGAAATCCAGGTTGACAATGGCAGGGTTTCAGCAGTACCCGTTGAGCTCATATGTGAACTCTGTCATTGGGGGTCTGCTGAGGTGTTACTCGGAGCATTATACACTGGTTGAGAAGGACGGTGCTATGCTTTTGGGATGGAAGGACAGGAACTTAATATCAGCTTCTGCCTGGCATTGAGTACAGGAAATAAAGATCAGGGGTAGCAGTAGAATTTACCAGTTTGTATTTTTCTTTTAATGCAATACACAAAGCCCTATAGTTTCTTTCTAGGACGCTGTTCACTGTTGTACTTAGGATGGCCGGCATTTGTATGCTGCAGCAGAATGTGGTTCCCTACCACCGAACGTGTTACCGCTGTGTATACAAGATTCTGTTCTTTGATAGAGTTGTATGTAATTATAATGCAGGGTTTGTTTTACTTTTACAAAGTCTTTACTAATAACTAAGACTAATCCGGCTCGTTTCTTCATTCCCGCCCCTCCTCAATCTCTTTTCACCCGAGTATTTCCATGAAGCAATGACGGAAAACAATCTTGTATTTCGCCATTGTTTCATGTAACAAACTAACAATCAATACGGTACCAGAAGCGACATGCCTTCTCTCTTTCTCAAACTGCACAAATAGAATCCGACATTGCACAACGGTACAACATTAATTGCACATATATCAAATTGGAAGATAATGTTAATGCAACAATGCTTTTTATACTTCATGTACTCACTACTTACTGCCCAACTCTCTAATACCTATGACTCGTTAATGTATTTAGGATTCACCTCCATTTGAAGAAAGACGTATTTAGCTTAAACTGGTAATGGATTTGAGGGGATCGGGGGTCAGTTTATCGGGGAGTTAGGCCTTTTTAATTGCTTGAAAACGAAGTAGCCTACTTATGTAGTTGATGACTAAATCCCAATTTCTTGGCTCTTTCTAAACCCCTTAAGGGTGTTAGAGAGTAAGGTACTATTTAGTAGCCCGACTTGCCTAAATAATCAATTTATGGCGCACCGGTTGGCTAGCTATGGGAGGGATTGCTTGCAAGGCTCAAACCACCGATGTAATCTAAGATGTTTTATTTGAGGATAGTTTGTCAATCTAATTGTAAAGTGAGTCTCTTTTTTCTTAAACCGGGTTGAAAACCCAAACAAGATTTTCTAAAGCCTGCTAAATTCCTTCTATCCGTTTATACTATTTCAATCTTTATTTGCCTGAATATCGTATTCACCTCAAAAAACAAGACTTATAGAAAGAGATCACGAGAAGTTATGATCAATAATATACTTTTGTAGTGTTCATGATATTTTCAACACAGTTCCAGTTCTTCAAATGTACCAAAGGCATTGTTGGGTTCATCCACTAATGATAGCAGGGCAACACCTATTTGTTGATTGTTGCTTTGCTTGCTCGTGATACCTTGAATTCTGTATCGATCATCAGATCTTAAAATTCCTATTGCTACTGACTAAGTTTCAATTAGAGTTGGTTTTCTTCTCAACAAATCTCATCATGAGTTTAAAGTGTAGCATTGTACTTCTGATATACTCAAATTCGAACAGCTCTCCTTATAGTTTGAATTTGTTTAATATAAGACTATCGCTCTATTGTATTCTTATAAATACCATAAAGCATTCGAGTTTGTGAGATTATTGAAGAATTCTTATATTTATCATGAATCCTTTATTTTCAACTTGGTATCATAGTTTAATAACCCTTTATTCAATTCTTACTTGAAAATAATTGGGATTTTGAGAGTCGAGTTTAATAACCCTTTATTCAATTCAACTTGGTATCATAGTTTAATAACCGTATTTTAGTTCTTTTTACAAATTCAGGAGTATCCAATCAGAATTTTACATGATTCTTTGAAAGTCTAGGTGTATTAAATCAGGATGTTAAAGAAGTTTATAACATTTCAGGTGTATTCAATTAGAAATTGATTTTAAAGGATTTTAAAAAGTTGAGGAATTTGAGGAAATTAGAGAGATTTTGTAGTGTATTTTACACATTCTCAAATCTCACCTCTCCCCCTGAGAATTTGAGAGAATTCGCTCAAATTTTTACCTAGAATCTCTATGAATCAATTAAACCCCATCAAAATCCTTCAAAATCTCAATTGAATACACCCCTGTAAGTTTTATTTTTTGTATATTAATAAACTATTTGTGGTCTTTAATTTACATTTGTCTCAGCCATTTGTCTCAGCCACTAGCTATTTCTCTCTTCAACATGGGCTCGGTTGATCCCCTACTTGTGAATCCTCGTTAAGAAAATGCCAATTCTCATATAAGCACAAAAATAACTACCAAAATTCTTTTCTGGTTAAGAAAATGTCACTTATTATTACGATTTAATAATATTTCTCTCTCTTATAAGTGAGAGGTCTTATGTTCGATTCTTGTCAAAAGCGAATTTGAACCACATTATTGTTAGCCCATTATAAGGCTAAGTCCACCTCCTCCGTAATAATATCGTTTGTTGAAAAGAAAAAAAAAACTACCAAAATTCTTTTCACCAATAAAAGCACTCAATAAATCAAAAAGGAAATTAGAATCCCCCTCCTCATTCATCTTGAAAATCTCGAGCCTGAAGTTCGAGTGCTTATCATTTTGGCCTGAAGATCAAAATGAAAAACTTGTAAGAATCAGAAGTTCTAACACTACATACCTCCAAAATACATATTATTGCAAGTTCTTACACTTCTCATTTTTCTTTCAGAAAAGAAAATGGCGAACTTGGCAAAGCTTGATTTTGTTGGCAAAGCTTGATTTTGTTGCCCTTGACATTACAGGGAAGAATTACCTTACCTGGGTACTGGATACCAAGATCCATCTAGAAGTAGGGAATCTTGGAGATACCATTAAATGCTGGAAAAGACTTTCAATACATTTCATGCCTTTAACGTGCTCATGCAGCAGCAGTATATAGCGCGAGGCTTCACTGAATACAACTAGCTGATATCTGTGCTTTTGGTAGCTGAACAAAACAATGAGGTCCTGATGAAAAATCATCAGTGCCGACTTACTGGATCTGCACCATTCCCAAATTGAATGCTGCTTCCCTCGAAGTGAACGTCATATCCTCTGGTGGCGATAATCATAAACGAGGACGTGGCCACAAGCGAGGTCAGTGGAACAAGAAAAGAAAGAACCATGGTGGTCAGTCTCACAACCAGGTTCCAAGGCAAAATTCAGGCCCGAGCTTTAAAAATGGAAATCGCCACAAAGGTAAAGCTCGTATGAATAATGCTCCTAGAAACTCTGATGGAGCCTGCAATAGGTGTGGTGGCGATGGGCATTGGGCACGTACCTTTCGTACCCCAAAACATCTGGTGGATCTATATTAAGCATCCCTCAATGAGAAAGGTGTCGAGACTAATTTTCTCGACCAGGCTAAACCAATAGATATACCCGATCCAGTGTGCAACTTATCAGGGCAATTGAACATAACTCACCTAGATGTTTCAGACTTTATTGTGGAAAGGAGGAATGAAGTATACCGGTCCGACTGAATCATTTATGTTTGATGTACTTTTATTATTCTGAACTTGTAGTTTAAAACTAGCATTTTGATTCAATAAAAGTGGCTTTCAAATTTCATGTTATCAGTTGTTTTTAACCGTGATCCCCTTTTACTCAAAAAGCATGGATAAAAACTATGGTTATTTTCAGAACATGAGAAACGGCAGAGATATTTGTCTTGCAGACAATGCAACCACACATACAATACTTTGTGATCGAAAGTATTTCTTTAGCTTGATGCTTACAGGAGTAAGGGTAACAACAATATCAGGGAAGGTTCAGGGAAAGCCCAGATTATGTTACCAAATGGAAAAATATTGTCCATACAAAATGCGTTGTATGCTACTCGATCTACTCGAAATTTGTTGAGTTTCAAAGACATACGTTTAAATGGACACCACATTGAAATGAAAAGTGCAGAAAATGTGGAGTATATATGCATTACCTCCAATAATACCCAGAAGTGTATATTAGAGAAGTTGCGTGGTTTGTCGAGTGGATTGTATTATACATACATAAAGACAGTTGAATCACATACTGTCATGAACCAAAAGTTCATTGATTCAAAAGTTTACATGCTTTGGAATGACCGTTTGGGTCATTCAGGATCTACCATGAAGCATAGGATCATTACCAACTCTAATGGACATCCATTATTGAGCAGACATATTGCTATCACAAATGATAACCCTTGCAAAGCTTGTTCTCAAGGGAAGTTGGTAATCAGACCATCACAACTAAAGGTTGATGTTGAATTCCCATCATTTTTGCAAAGAATTCAAGAGGATATTTATGGACCTATTCAACCATCTTGTGGACCATTTCGATATTTTATGGTTTTGGTTGATGCATCTACCAGATGGTCACATGTTTGTCTCTTGTCTACTTGAAATGTAGCTTTTGCGAGACTTCTTGCTCAGATAATTAAGTTACGAGCACAGTTCCCAGATTACCCTATTAAGTCAATCCGACTTGATAACGCTGGTGAATTACGTCTCAAATCTTTGATGATTACTGCATGACATTGGGCATTGATGTTGAACACCCTGTTCCTCATGTCCATACTCAAAATGGTTTAGTAGAAGCATTGATCAAGCTGCTTCAGTTAATAGCTCGCACTCTGCTCATGAAAATAAAATTGCCAGTTTCTGCGTAGGGACATGTCATCTTACATGCTGCATCATTGGTTTAATTGAGACCTATAGCCAACCACCAATACTCCTTAGTACAACTCGTGTTTGGACATCAGCCAAACATTTCACATTTACGAGTTTTTGGTTGTGTTGTTTATGTGCCTATTGCACCTCCGCAACGCACTAAAATGGGACCTTAACGTAGACTAGGAATTTATGTAGGTTTTGATTCACCATCTATCATCAGATATTTGGAACCCTTGACAGGTGATATGTTTACAGCTCGTTTTGCTGATTGTCACTTTGATGAGACAATCTTCCCATCGTTAGGGAGAGAAAAGATCGTTCCAGAAGAATGGAAAGAGCTAACATGGGTTGTTCCCACATTGTCTTATTTTGATCCACGTAGCACTCAATGTGAAAATGAAGTGAAAAGGATTGTTCATCTTCAAAGCATTGTCAATCAAATGCCAGATGCATTTAATGATGCTATGAAAGTGACAAAATCACATATACCAGCTGCAAATGCACCTGCAAGGATTGATGTCCCTTTTGGACAAAATAAAGTGGCAGTGAATGATTCATCTGGTGCACGCCTGAAACGTGGTAGACCCCCAGGTTCAAAAGATTCATCCCCTCGAAAGATAAAGACAAGGGCACATCTGAATCCAAATGAAATCATATTAAGTGATGATATTGAGCCCCGCTCTGTTGATGAATGTAAATAGAGACAAGATTGGCCTAAGTGGAAAAATGCAATCCCGGCATAATT